TAATATTTAATATCTCGGAAACCAAAATTGCACAAACGACCATTTTAACGGCACAAACCTGCACAAACGGAGCACTAACCATTCTGACTATTTGATGACTTTTTTGACGTGGGTGGGGTGTCAGCTTCACTCAGCTAAGGTTTAGCCATAAAACAAATTTAAACACACACATGACAATCCACACAACAGAGAAATCAGTTTCACTGTAAATATTAAAACGGCTCCTACATAAGGCCCCACAGGAGTTATATGGAGGACTTAAACTGACATAATTAGAAAAAGCAGGAATACATAAAATGACAAATAAATAAAGAACATTAAACTGCACCAATTAAAAAAAGAACTTCACCTGGTTTCTTATAATTCGACCATTGACTTTTCCAGCTTTGTTCCTAGAAACTTTATATTTTAACGCTTAATTTACTTATACATACATAATACATAATTCCTCCTTAACGTCAAATCATGTGAAGTTTAAGAGATCACCTTGAATATTGGCTAAGTAAACCAACTGACTTAGAAACCTTCAGTAAAAGTAAATCAAACACTAAAAATAACTATGCACGATAACACATTTTAACAGGGTGTCCGTGGGGTCTTGAAAAGTCTTATATTCATATTTCTAAAATGAAGTGTCTTTAAAAGTATTGAATTTATGAATAACGTGTAAGTTAGTCTTGAATACATTACCCAAGGGTCTTAAGTTTTGTCAGGCAGGACAGATTTCTTCGTCTCCGCTGCGGATATCTTAAAGGTGAAGAGGAGCAGAGAAGAAAAAAAACGTGTGTTGTCGGGGGCTTCTATCTGGCTGGATTTGACTAACGGTGCTTTAAAACAATAAAGAGAACCAGTCACAGTTTTAGCCAATCAGAGCAGAGCAGGGCGGGTGCTACAGTCTGTAAGCAGAGAAACAGACTGCGGGAGTAAATATCGTTTTCTCTACTTTTTTTCAAGATGACGCCGCGACCCGCTACCTAACAGAACGGCCCGTCGCCCAATGAAGGTGAAGTAATGTAATAAATTATTAAACATTTAAGAATTAAACGTATMTGTTCGCACATGAGCAGTCCATTTCAACCGATGAGATACCTGAATTGGTACACCGTTACCCCCACCCCTCCTCCCGAACTGAGCCCCGACCTGCCCAGAGTTTTGTATCTAAAGTCTAACTTTGTATCAAACGTTAATGTGTTCCAAGCTTCATCGTTATCTTACAGGCATGTGTAACTTGAGCACGTGACCAAACTCCAGGTCCGACAGAGACAGCTCTCCTGCGTGCATGCGCTCAGACTGTTTTCTCTCACGGTGAGGCGGGAGGCAGCAGCTGCTTTCTTCTTTAGATTCCAGATTACAGCAAAGACGTGTCTCTGTTTAAATTTTATTTTCCTTAAACTCATGAAGTTCGTCAGTTTCAGCTGGTTGTATTTTATCACATATATCTGCACAAGTTAATCCTACATAATGTTTTAGCAATAATAAGGTGTTTTGTCTGTTTGGATGTGCAAACCTTTNGTTAATCCTACATAATGTTTTAGCAATAATAAGGTGTTTTGTCTGTTTGGATGTGCAAACCTTTAATAAATTTAAAACTAAACTAAGAGGTAACTACTGTGATAAATCAAAAAGAACGTGATTACTGTGATAAATATAATTCATACAATATCAAATATGAAAAATAAATAATACTAAATGACTTCATGAATTATGTTCCTGTATTCTCTTTGATTTAAATAGACATTTTAGGGGAGAAATCTGTCAAATTAAGAAATTATATGAAAAATAATTTATATTTGCAAAGAACTTTCTGTAAACACATAAATTACTTCATAGTAGGGTTGGGCATAATCGTATCATCTGCAATTAATCGTCAAAAAAACATTTATCGATTATTTTTTGGCACTTGACAATTAATACGATTAATGCCACCAGGCAGATTGACTAGAGATTTCCCCGGTCAGTCCGCTCGGTGCTCCTCTCCGCTTCAAATATGACGAAAAAACAAAAGTTCTGTAATTTATTTATCAACACAATTTAAATTTTGATGTAAAGCCTGAAGTCTGTGATTTTGACACAGTTTGAAAAAGACTTTTACGAAGAGCGAATCTTTCCCACTAAATTGGTCATGTGACCAGGACATAAGGGTGTCCAGAGAATACAGGAGATTAATCGTCAAATTAATCGTTATCGGCTAAGTACCATAATTAATCGTGATTAATTTTTTTGCCAATATCGCCCCACCCTACTTCATAGTAAACTACAGAAAAGTTGTTAAAAAAAACTCACTTCCTTCTGAATGTTGTTGGTCTTGATGATGKAGGGTAAAGTATATTTATATGTAGTTTAGGGCTGCCACGATTAGTCGAATAATCGACGACTAATCGATTATTAAAATAATTGATGACTAATTTAATAATCGATTAATCGTTTTTTTTGTTTTGTTTTTGTTCTTTACTTTGTTTTTCTCTCCAAACTGCTTTGACACCTTCCACTGCCACATCTGCCTTTCTGTCGTTGACACGCGCAGTAGTGGTAATGGCTACCCAGCAACGGAGCTCAAAAATGTGGGATCCTTTTAAGAAAATGAAAGATGTTTGTGCTGGTCTCCGTTTGATCCGGTGCCCTGGCACAAACAGAGCAATGTTGTATATGCTGTTAAGTGCCAGGAGGACTGCGACCAGTTATACATCGGGGAAACAAAGCAYCCACTGTTCAAAAGAATGTCCCAACACAGACGAGCTACATCTAATGGCCAGAACTCTGCAGTTTTCACTCATTTACAGGCCAGCGGTCACTCTTTCAGAGATGAGGATGTTCTCGTTCTTGATAGAGAGGAACGTTGGTTTGAGACAGGAGTCAAAGAAGCCATTTTTGTGAAGAAAGACCGTCCATCATTAAACAGAGGTGGAGGCCTCCGTTTTCAGTTGTCCCCCTCCTACAGCGCGGCCATTGCCTGTATCACTCCACCCCCTGTTAACAATAAGTGTTAATTAGGTGTCAACGATACCCATGTGATGTGAGTATCAGTCACATGGAGGCAGGGCTTAAAAGCCTGAATTTTGCCTGAAACTCTCAGACTGAAGAAGTCTCTTGGAGGAGAGACGAAACGTTTCATTAGAGAAGAACCCGTCCAGAAGACCTACACAATTTTTTTCTTTTTGTATGTTTTATATTCAATTAACGTATGATCCGATTAGTCGACTAATCAAAAAAATAATCGATGATTAATCGACTAAAAATAATCGTTTGTGGCAGCTCTAATGTAGTTGCATGATTCTTTGTGTATAAAGGTATAAATGGAGAATTAGGCCCAAGAATTCCGTTCGTCTGTCCGTTTTCTGTCGCTTATCCAGGGTCAGGTCTCGTGTGCAGCAGCCTAAGCAGAGAGACCCAGACTTCCATCTCCCCAGCCACTTAGGCCAGCTCATCCAGGGGGAATCCCAAGGCGTTCCCAGACCAGCCGAGGAACATAGTCCCTCCAGCGTGGGCCCAAGTATTCAGTAAATATATTTTTGTTGGATGTTTCCACAGCAGTGAATATCTATACTGTATTCACTGTGTTTCATTGAGGGACACACGTYCAATTCTTGGTTATAATACAGCACGATTCCCTAATGATCACCGATATTTATAGTTTTTTCAGTCTTGAATTTCATACAAGGTGGTACTGAAAAGGTCTTAAAAAGTCTTAAATTTGACTTGCTAAAACCTGCAGATACCCTGTTTAAGAACCAAAACCGATAACTTTCTCCCTGTAACGGCCGATAACATGCCAAGAGATACAACTAGTCAAAAATGGGTACGATCATAACATAAATAAATAACACCAAAACCAAATGACACTAAATTATACCGTTTGAAATAAACTCTTAGCAAACAAACATTTCTTAAAATATATAAAACAAATTTTCTCAAATGGCCATTTTTTAAATGAGGCACATTAATTAAAAAAAAAGATCTTTAACACTGATTTCAGATTTAAACAAAAGAGAAAAAGTCATTACTCAAGTTCAAAACAGATAATGCACTAACACAAGCTAGATTAAAAGTACATTTATTTTATTATTAATATGATTTCAAACATTTTTTTTACGTGAAACAGTGCTTCTGAGATAATAGTACAGAAATGATAACCTGTCAATCAAAGTGAGAATGCATCATACTTACAGGAAGACACACAGAGAGCAGCAGCTCAGTATGGTAAACCATGGTTAAGAAGGAGATAAAAGCTTCAGTCTTTAGCGAGAGTGAATGGCTGCTTGTCATCATTTCCATCATTAAATTGCTTAGATCTGCGTCCTCTCTGGCAATTTTATTGGATTTGTTAAAAGCTTCAGCAATGGTTTAAGTCCCGACAAGTTCTTGAACGCTAGCTTGTTGTTTTTAGCATTTTAGCTGAACGGACTTTGTGCTGCATTCAGGAGATAAAGGACATTACATGTTCTCAAATTGGGAGTAGTTGTTCCGATGTTTATAATTATAAAGTTTGTATGTAACATACATGGTTAATTGATAAAATAAAAATAATTCTTAAAATGACTGTTTTTCAGCACGGAGTATTCTAATTATTTTAGGGCACTGCTACTCTCAACCCGACCTTATTCTACCCTGGCCTTGTTGAGCTAATTACATTCTGACTACCGGTAGTATAAATAACATCAGATTTATCATTAAGTTGTATGGAGACTCCAGTTTGAAATATCTTAAATGTATCTTTAGATATAAGAGAGGCTATATAAGATTCAATTGATGCAAAGTGCAGACTTTTTCATGTTATGTAAATTGTATTTTAAAAAATGCTGCACACTCTATTAATAAATAGTAACAACTTTTCTGCTGTCAATCATTCTGTTTTCATAAGCAGCCCTCACAAGGCCAATATGTTTACCCTTTATGGGTAATAGTTAATAACCAGTGGTTTTCATTCACTGTTTGAGTTTAAATATTTCTGATTTTTCTACTATAATTTTTTACATTATAATTCAAATTTAGATGTTAAACACAACTCAAACGCCATCACAGACTGTTAATAGTTGTTTAGCCAGTACTTCCAGCTTTTATCTGAAAAATACAAAATGAATAATTAACTGTTCTTTTGCAGCCAGATAATAAATGCTGGAAAGATTTAAAATAAACATTTTACTCAAATATTTGATTTGATGTTTGGTTTTTTAAACATTCTAAGTTGTGTGTCTTTAATGTACATGTTGTTACAGTTGATTTTAGTTATTTGTTTTTAAATGAAGTAAAACAATGTCTTACACAGTACGTGCAAAAGTGTGTGGATAAATAAAAATACAAGTTAGAAGAAACAAGAAGCTCTTTAGATGAAATCCAATGAACTTTAAAATCGCTGTCAGGATCATTGTGATTCAATTTCAACAGAACAGGAGTAGGCTAAGGAATTGACTAAAATAAATTACACGTTAAAACGTGCTAAAACTGAAAAGATGATGTATTAAAATTCTAATTACCCCCACATCAGTTCCATTATTTTCTAATCTAAGTCTGTTTTTGTTACAATTTTCTTTCGTAAACTACAACGCATAGCAGTAACTTAATGACCCCCGCATGCACAAATGCACCGGAACTCAGGAGTATTTATTCCTAATAAATGTCATGCTACTAGGTGCATCCCAAAATTGTAGTGGCTTGGGTGGGGATCTTTTATTTTTATTTTTGGGGGGGGCATTGGTTGACCTGATGGATAGCCCCTCATCAGAGCTAAGCAACCAATGAAAATCTGAAGCTCTTATGTTGAAAGGTTTGAGTTATAAGCATTTTTGCATGTCCAGACACCCCTTTTTCAGATAAATTGGGGGTCCCGGGGGATGGGGGGCACTGATTGGTTGACCTGATGGATAGCCCCTCATCAGAGCTAAACAACCAATGAAAATCTGAAGCTCTTATTTTTAATAGATTTTGAGATATAACCATCTTTCTATGTCCAGATACCACTTTTTCAGATAAATTGGGGGGGTGGGGGGCACTGATTCGTGGGTCCGATGGATAGAGCTTCATCTGAGGTAAACAACAAAAGAAATCTGAAGCTCCTATGTTCCTATGTTTAATAGTTTTTGAGCTATAACCATTTTTGCATGTCCAGACACCCCCTCTTTGGATGGAGCCCCCTCCTAAATTATGGGGTCTATCGTCAAATCGTTGGCTGGCGCAGTGTAGGTCAGACTCATCTACAGCCCTGCCAATTTTCATGTTGATTGGTGCAGCCGTTTTTGTGCTACGGTTGACCAAAAATCACTGAAAAAAAAAAACTAGATACCGCATAGTGACTCACGCATGCAAAAATGCACCAGAACTTAGAAGTCTTTATTCCCAATAAATGTCATGCTACTAGGTGCATACCAAATTTGTAGTGGTTCGGGTGGGGGTCTGTTTTTAATT